TATATCTATGTATGTGTACACACACACACACACATACACACACATATATATGTATATATATATATATATGTGTGTGTGTGTGTGTGTGTGTGTGTGTGTGTATGGGTGTGGGTGTGTGTGCGTGCGTGTGTGTGTGTGTAGAGATAGAGGGGGGGGGGGCAGAACAAATAATTTAGTGATCGCGCTGAATCCGCAAGCTTCCAATGTGTGATGAGAGGCATAATGCCACGCAAAAAAAAGCACGTACTCAAAAAAAAGAAAGCTAGGCCCAAGGCCAGTTGCGTGTTATTATCATTTTGTTTCCTCTGTGTTCGTTTCATCGCATTCGTCAAATACGTCACAAAACTAACAAGCTAAATGAACAATCAGTAGTGTTCGTATCATTGGAGACATTTAACTTTGTTTAAATAAAAGAATAAGAGCATACAATAATGTAAAATAAAACTTCTATTGCCACATAAGAATGACCAGTTTACGTTTTATGTTCACTATAAGAAAAAAAATATTAGAATTATGTCTATTTCACAGTGCGTGCCGCGCGACGGCTTCCTAATTTCTTGATTACGTAGGTGTCTTTGACCCATCACTGCCCACGACCATGCTTTTAATCTCTTAGTATGCGTTCCGGCACTCCAATAAACATAGTGTGTCGTTCGCATTACATGACCTGTCCTGGTCATGTAATGCTGTAGTGAGTACCAAAGCCAATTATGAGGTTCAGTGACGGATACTGAATTTTATTGCACTGTAAATTATTCAGTAATATGTTCCTGCATTTTTTTTTCGTTTTCATTAAGTTTATTTCACCTGGGCCAAGCACTCATGATACAAGCTTGCGCATAGCAAAGTATAGGCCCTCCAAACATGGCTTAAGCGAACCACGGCAGTAATTTTTTTCAAGAATACTATCAGCGAATACAAATAATAATGATTGATTCTACCTTCCGACTATTGTCTTTTATACTGTAGGAACTGCATTTCAATTGCACTGCCGTTTTTACACCCCGTATTCTGGTTCTTGTGCGTCGATTAAACTGACTGGCACCTGAATTAAAGTCATTGGCAATTGGATTAAACACGGTGGCACTTGGATTAAATTCAATGGCACGCGGCCTGAGTGAGTTGGCGCTTGGATTAAATATGTTGGCGCTTGGATTAAATGTTTGGCACATGGATTAAATAGCTCGGCGTTCAGATTATTTCAATGGCGTGCAGATTATTTAGGCTGGCACTTGGATTAAAGTGAGCGGGAAAACCTGTAGTTTTTGCGGCGTCTGCGGCTGAATCAGTCACCGCGGACCGATAGGAAGACTAGTGAAGAAATTTTGAAAAGTGGTGGCCAAGCCCTACTTACTTGTCATGGTGCGGTGCCCATAACTGAACATTGTAATCAACGGTAGCTTAACCCACTCTGTACTACTTCACGTTCCTATTTCGTGAAAGCGATGACTGAGCTTATCTTTGGTGTGACCGAGCTTGTCACGCTCTTGCAGAGCAAGACGAACCCACCAACGCCACTGGCGTCGGCGGTTTTTTCTGCTTTTCGTGAATTAAAAGAGAGCGACTTGCCAGCAAAGTAAAAGTAAGCAGTACTGCTTCTTCTTGCTGCCGGTGTACAAGAATCGACGAAGTCTATACCCCGTATATTGCAGTGGCGTTTGCGATCCATGACAGCAATTGGGTAACAGCTCATATATCTCGCGTCGGCCCCGTGGTACATGGCATATTCGGCGGCGCGGGGCGCGTCCAGTGCGAACGATGCTGCGTTTTGGCGGCAGGTGAATTCCGGCCGCTGTAAAACGCGGATGCTTTAGTGTGAACTAGGGGTAACATCGAAGGTATCTATTTTGCGTGCCACTACGCTGTCATTCTTTGTCCGCACACACTTCCAAAACATTTTCCTTCTCATTTTGATAGCTGCGCCAAGAAGGCATTTAAACGCCTTCATGGCGCAGCTATCGAACAATTGTTGTGTGGCCTCTACTGCTCATTAACATAGATCCATTGTTCGGGCCCCGCGAAGCCAGTATCAATAGTCGACCGGTCAGCCTTCCTTGCTGCCTCAAGAAAAAGATTTCGTTTTGTTTGGGCCATGAACTTGACAATTACGCGAGCATGGCTACTCTTTTTGTTTTGGCGGTATAGGCGATGTCAATGTGCACTAGGTCGAGAAAAACTTTGATGGTAACCAAAATTTGCAAGGCCATTTCATCGCTCCTGTCCCTAGAAGCGAGCGGTAAGCCCTTTATTTCTACGTTATGGAGCCTGCTTTATAGTTCTAGTTCCAATAATTTTGCTTTCAGCTTCAGTAACCCTTTCAGCTAGGCCCTTGTTTTTCTGCATCAAAGCAGCACAGTACCCTCTTGTCATCTTGACCTCCGCAGTCAAAGTCCGCCCCTCTTTTAGAATGCTTTCGAAATAATCAGCCATTCTCGGAACAAAATGTTATGCTCCGAGTCATTGTTTCGATTTCAGTGCACGTTTTACGCTTGAAATCATCAATGGCCGTCATAATATTGGTAGTTGTAGGCATGACGAGCAAAGAAAAGAAGAGAAACATTCTGTCGGCAGTGGCAAAACCAATAAAAAAGAAGTAGTGTTAGACCAGGAGTGGTGACAATTTATGTAGAGGTGCAATCATCTATGCAGCAAAAATCAATAGCATGGAACATTCAGTTGCTTGTTCAACGTGCTACCACTGACTGGACGGCACATCCAATGAGTGGCTCTTTTTGTAGCTTCAGTATTAGGTGACCTCACGATTCTGCGTGTGCTAAGCACTATCGTAGTCGTGTATGGCACAGTCCTCTTGCGCTTGTACCCGCGTTTTCTTCAGGAGCATCTTGGTATGGTATGACTAACCTATATGCAGCACAAAATCAACAGGAACATTTAGTTGCTTGTTCAATGAGTTACCACTGATTGCACGGTAGATCCGATGAAGGGCTCTAGTTTTAGCTTCGGTAGCAGGTGACGTCACAATGCTGCTTGCGCTGACCACTGTCGTAGGCGGGCATGCCGCAGTCCGCTTGCGCTTGTGCCCGCCTTTTGATGCAGAGCTTCTCGGTATGGTATCAGCAACCTATCCAGCACAAATCAATAGCATCGAGCAGTTAGTTCTGTTCAACGTGCCATTGCCGACTGTTGATTGAACCGACTATATCAGGTTTCTAGATTGAATACGTAATGCAAAAAGAAACGACAACCACACTGTTGCCCTCGTGAAGGTACAGATGGATCACATGCTCAGAATAATCACAAGAATATGAAATTGGAGGCGCGACCTTACTGAGAGCAATATTCTGAGTTTGTATCATGCGTTCTTTGTGAACCACTCAAACTACATTGTATGGCCACTAAAATGGTTCTACTTGAATGAAGCCGAATTGGATGCGCTGATAATGAAAACCTTCAGGTGAATATTAGGAATTTCTGTTAGCACTACCTCAAAGAAGCGCTTTCAACTACCCACTAGGTGTACACAACACTCTCAATAATGTAATCGAAGCACAGAGAACTGCGCGAAAAAGACGCCTCTCGTCTTCGAAGGCAGGTAGAAAAATCTGGAAGTCCGGAGGACTGGTGCTCTATGGTCATCGATGAGAATGTCAACCATGCTTTCTCATGTCATTAGTGAGACCTTTAAGGTTAGCCCTTTCGTAAGGAATGTGAACCCTCTATATAATGTGGCGAGACGAAGGGGAACAGCCCTCTCTTTCAACACTTTGCGCACAAAAGCCTTCATATAACCACTTACGTAGATGCTGCGCCGTATGGGCACACATATTCCGGGGTAGCTTTTGTAACTGATCCACATAGGAAGGCACTTATTGCAGCTTCGTAAAGACATGTCAAGGTTGGCCGACCCAATTGCCATCGCGCTAGCTTTGAACGACACTGACTCGATATCAGCCATCAGGCTTCATTTTCTAGTCTCAAATGCAATACTGAAGCAACCACCACCTGATCTCGTTGACACTATCACATGATTCCCAGCTTACATGGGAATCAATGTACAGCGCTCAGCACCTTTAACACGAATGCTCTACCGCGTGTCCTGCAGCAGTTTGATTGACGCTGACACCACCTACGTTTGGGTTCTGCTGTTAAGATGCTAACCAAATATGCCGACGTACTATCCAAGACTACTGAGGTACTATCTAGGCAAAAGCACCCAGCACTTTGCGGCTGGCATCAATCAAACTAGCCCTCGCCACGCATCGAAGTATTCATGTTAAAGGTGCTGACGGCTGTACATCCCAACGAACCCAACCCGAATGACCAACGTGAGGTCTGAGATTCCGCTATGGTCCCGATACGCTTGACAATCCGGGTTGAGAGCATATCTCCGACCCAATGCTGTCTTACGAAATAAGGCAACACGAACAGCTTGGGTGCTAGAAATTCCTGATCCTGAACGCAAAGCCGAGTAGACCTCAACCATCCACTGTTAGAATGTTACAAAAAGGCATATTTCTCGTCGAGAAAAAGGTTTAGTCGCTTTTCTCCGGCATCGATCTACACTGCCCTGAGTGCCATCAAAAGTGTTGCTTGTTATTTCACATGCTCTGGCATTGTTCGGCGATAGAAAATGCCTACTTTAGATGACTGGGAGGTAGTCTTCAAAAGCGGTGACCTCCATGAAAAGAGCGGGTGGAGGACCATATTCTTTGGGCCCCAACGTGGGTGCGGCCTACCACTACGGCTTCGTAGTTCCTTAGAACCCGAATAAGATATGTTGACTAACTGGCTGGTTTTTTTTAATACTAGAAAATGCATAGATACCCAAGTCTAAAGACCGCGCTGTTTTACGCTGCGCTGACAATGCGATGCTGCGCTCGAAAAGACGGATATTCCCTATGCTTTGCTAAAACAAACGGTACGGTCACCTACCTGTGACTCTGTGTTCTAGAGATATTTCTGTTTTTCAAGAATACCACCACATGACGGTCATGTCTGACGAAGTGCTTCCAGAATTCTATTCAGTGACCTTCCCGCACTGTACATCAAATAAAAATTTTATTCTCTCTCTCAAAGAGAAGACTATCGCCATTCGACAAAACTTCAAGTGAAACACGCAGGTGCACGGCGGTTTGTTCTATTAGGTTCTATTAAGTTTATTGACCAGGAGAATGTGAGTAGTCTGTATATTAGCGTCCTTTTTCATATAGCAATGGTATCACTCAGAACAGAAGCCCGGGAAAGGGGTGGATGTCTCTTCTTGCTTTCTTGCTACATATGGAGCGTCTTCTACTTTCCAGATAACAAGCTTTTGCCAGCGGATCCTAGTATCGTGCTTCCAGGAGACGGGCTTTGAGGCGATTCATTGTTTCCAGTCGTAGACTGGGAGCCAGTGGCACCGCTATCACTCGATGCAGGAGCAGCAGTATCCGAATTGCTGGCGCTACAGAGGGTTTCTGACAGATCGTTCTCCCATGACCAGCATAATCGGTGGGGCAGGAAGAATATCTGAAATTACGAAAAACAAAACAAATATGCTGTAAGTATGGCTCCCCAATCTTTACGCAATTGCACTTGAGAAACAGAGCTTTTGTTCGCATGATAGGTTGCCAAGAAACAGAGAAAGACAAGAATGCTGCATGTACCTAAAGTCAGTTTGCACGAGCTTGGCTCTATATTTTTTTGCGTCAAAATGCAGCGTTGCATTTGAACAAACTTTTAAAATATAGGACTTATGTAACAGTTAGAGTTCACGGTAAGAAAGTGATGGCTACGATAATTTATCTTAAGAAAGCGGAAGCTCGTGTATCATGAAAAGAAATTATCGATATTTTATGTTTACAAAATGGAAGTTCGTGCAATATAAAAAGAAATTACCGGTATTTAAACATTCAAATATGTCACGTGGTGTCACCTGTGAGCTACCACGGCGTCGTATTTGCCGCTACACCACGCCCAGGTTACTAAATTAGCTGCAATGCTTGAGAACTACAGGTTCACGTGATGAAAGGCCACAGTGCAACCACCAGTACTTTTTCATTGGAGGGCACCCACAACGCGTGAGTTTTTAAGGGAGCCAGTGACGTAGAAATTGTTTTGAATAAGTTTCCCTTGCGTTGGAATGCAAAGGGCTTCGGAAGAAATCTTACTGATACAACTGCCTCTCGCGACCTTCCTCTTGCCGTAACAGGCTGCAGATATTCAAGTATGCAGGAGACAAGTGCGATCACTGTGCGAGCAGGCCAAACGAGCAAGGTGCGGTGATGTGATCAGTGCCACCTGTCCAAGAATGCAAAAAAAAAGAAAGAAGGAGCCGCTGGCACTGTCTCGCCAGCCTGGCGTCCGGAACCAATGTCATCTCGCACACGCGTTTCCCGTGACAATTATCCATAGCCGTTCCGTCTCGATGTCTTCTGAAGATCAGTTTCGAATCTTTCGTTGGTGTTAACAGTGTGTGCGTGTTTTGTGTTCACAGCAGGACGGTCTTCTAGACCGGAAACGCACGGAGCTTTGCGATGCGTGAGCTGAGGCGCCTTCGTTTAGTGAAGGTCGTGGGCCTCAAATGAGCCTTCCGCCACGACTATCAAATCAGATGATGCGCCCACTGCGTTCTCGGCGAAGTCCGGAAACCGATTGGGAACTAACGCTTCTGTATTATGTTGCTTCGTCCACATCGTTGGTCCGGCGTACACTGGTGTGGTTCTGCACAGTGTGTAGCGGTAAAAATAGATCTAAAATCAATGAAAAGCCAAAAAAAATAAGGAAGGACATTAGGGGCAAGTAGCAACGGTGCGAGGTGTTCGATGCGTCTGTGAAGACTACTGTCACGACCGCTGAATAAACAAAATATCCAGCGACAGTGCTACTTTGAAGGCATTAATAACATGCTTTCAATAACCATCGATGTGACATGTTGCTTACAGGCAGGTTTTGAAATTGAAATTGAATTGAAATTTATTCCGCAACAACAAAATACATGTTACGAGGAGGGCAGGTAAAAGCTGTGAGAACAGCTTGAGAAGCCCTGACCCCCTAGTACACAGGGTAGCACAGAAAGACGTGCGGCTAAGGACAACCAAAATAAAAGTGTTTCACAATGTGCACTAAAAAAAAGAAACAATGAAAGATTACAATGAAAGATCACCGAGGTAGTCGCTAGATCACATTATTATATAAACACTAATCGCAATTTTTTTGGTGATATGCTAGATATATCAATGTTATGTTCCCTAATTATGCGGTTTAGAAGTGTAGGCAGTTGAAACTTTAACATTTGATTTCCGTATTTCGTTCTACATTTTGATATGTGCCACACTTCAGGTTGACGTACATTATAAGCAGGAAAATTTTTCTCTAACCTGGCTATTCTAGCAATCGTATCATTATTTTTCAATAAACCGAACTTATATAAACGGCTTAGTTTATAATCATATATTGATGCAACCTGAATGATGTAGTGTTTTTTAAACAATTCTGCTGTGTGGCTGCGATGTGGTAATTTAGAGGCAAGACGCAAAGCTTTCTTTTGCAAGATGGTAAGTTTGCAAACGTTTACAGTTGTCGTTGTGGACCATACAAGAAAGGCATAATTCAATAATGAAGAAAACAACGAGTTATATATGAGCATGTTTACAGAAACAGGAAAATAGTAGCAATGACGGCGCATGACGCCGATTATACGAGATAGTTTAGTAATAATATGGTTCACGTGATCATCCCATGTCATGTTTTGTGAAAAATACACGCCTAATGATTTAAAACTTTTGACGACTTCAATTTCTAAATTATTTAACGAAATGATGGGAAACTGAACTTGTGTGTGGCGGGGGTGAAATAAAACAGCTTTTGTTTTTTTTATGTTTAGTTTTAGAGAGTTTTCTTGGGCCCATGTGTTAATTTTAGACAGTGCGTTATTCGCTCGGCTACCTAGATCGCTGCTACATCTGCTTGAAAAAAACAAACTTGTGTCGTCAGCATATATAATGTAATGGGCAGATTCATCAATACGAACTATCTCATTAACGTAAAGTATAAAGAGAAACGGTCCCAAAATGCTTCCCTGCGGGACGCCTGTTTTAATGGATTTTGTTGCGGAATGTTTGCCTTGAATTACGACGAATTGAGTTCGGTGTTGCAAGTATGAAGTGATTAATTTGTGTGCAACGCCTCTTATACCGTAATGGTCCAACTTTTGTAGGAGAATTTTATGATTAATGAGGTCAAAGGCTTTTGAGAAATCAAGAAAAAGACCGAGTACCATATTTCGGGATTCAAAATTCTCTAGAATGTATTCTTTTTGTGCCAGTAGCGCGAGCTCAGTAGATTTATTTTTCCGGAAGCCATACTGCGCTGAAGTAATCAAGTTGAACTTGTCAGTAAAAGAGTTCAAACGTTTCAAAATTATTTTTTCCAGACCCTTAGAGAATACAGGTAGAATCGATATAGGGCGGTAGTTGGACATGTCATTTCTGGGACCCTTTTTATAGATAACTGTCACTTTTGCTATCTGCATGTTTCGCGGGAAATGTCCTGTGGACAAACATATGTTAAAAATGTAGGCAAGACAGGGTGCTAGTATGTCAATAACATACTTAACAGGTTTCATCTGAATATTGTCCGCGTCAGTGGCTTTGCTATTACTGAGTGTCAAAAATGTCGCTACTAATTCACTCTCTGAAATTGGCTCTAGAAATATTGTTTGGTTATTTCGAATATTCATATATTTTAAAGAAGTACTACTGGTTGTAGGGCCGCCAACTGACAAAAAGAAGTCGTTAAATGCATCAGCTAAATCAGGCCCTTGAATTTCTGTACCATCTTTCACAATTTTGGTTAATTCCTCCGGTGGATTATTAAGCGTACTGTTAATTGCCTTCCAAACGTTTTCTGTACGCCCTTGCGTTGAGTTAAACAGGTTCGAATAATATAGTTTCTTTTCATCACGAAGGCGTTTGGTGACAAAGTTTCGGTGCTTTTTAAATGCTTTGAGGGCTTCAGGGGACTTACTCACAATAAATGCCTTGAACAATTGGTCCCGCTTTCTTATAAGCTTAAGGCATTCTTTATTTACCCAAGGTTTCCGACTTTTTTTAAATGTTTTAAATGACTTTAGGGGAAAACATTGAAGGTATATTTCGGTGAACTTGTTCATAAATAAATCGTATGCCAAATTGGCGGCACTCGCTGCGAACACATTGCTCCAGTCGGTTCTGCCTAAGCGCTCTCTAAAGAGGGTTAGTGTTTCAGGATTTATAAGTCTATAGGAAAATTCTGCACGCACTTGTTTGGGTACGTTATTGAGTTGGTTAACAAACATAAATATAGGCATGTGGTCACTAATATTGTGAATCAAAGTGCCAGCCGTAACAAGGGAAGTATCAAAGTTTGTTATAAAAAGATCTAAGAGTGTTGATGACTGTGAAGTGATTCGCGTAGGAGCCGTTATAACATTTTGACAATAATGCGAGCTTAACATTGATTCAAGTTCTAATTTAACACTGCTCTCAGCTAACATGTTGATGTTGAGGTCACCACCTAAAATCAAGGCATATTTTTTTTCACTCACAAATTCTAACAGTGAGTCTAAAAAAGAAAAAAAACAAACGGACATTATTTGATGGAGGGCGGTAACATACACAAAACACTGATGTACCACATCTAACAGTGAGTATTTCATATAGAGGAGAAATGCAGGAGAATTCAGACATCAATTCACAGTCTATTTTACTTGAGATTAGCATAGCTACGCCACCACCCCTTTTGCCTGTGCGGTTCATGTAGTATGATTTATAAGTTGGAGACGTAAATACATCATCTTCCGAAGCAAACCACGTTTCCGAAAACATCACAACGTCAAAATTTACTTGTGCTTCACTAAAAAAATATTCGAGCTCATCCTGTTTATTCCTTCCCGATCTAAGGTTGAAATGAACGCAACTGAGGCTTTTTTCACAACAAGTGTCATACAAGTTTTTAAGATTAATAAGGTCTATAGGTGCGGTTAAGGGAAACATGTTAAGACGAGTATCAAAAGAATATCAGGAAGTAAACAATGCAATGCGGGGTAACAGTATCACAGCTTATCAAGGTCACCCAAACGACGAATGACAACCGCGCTATCACCCTCTCTTTTCCTAACGAGAATCTTGCCGTTGCAGTGCCATGAAAAACGATAGCCATTGTTCTGTGCCCAGTCTTTTGCGTTTTAAGGCTTTATAAGCGTAGCGATGAGGGAGGGAAGCACCAATGAGGATAGATAGGTTCTGGTATGACATCGCACAGTTTGCTTTATATGCACAGTAACGAATCAGAACTCTTCACGTTGATGTGCCTCGTATGTTGAACATGCAAGTGTTTTCATCATCAAGCCCAAGATTTCATTAAGCTATTTTGCAGAAAATGCAGCTAGTGTGAGGATGAATCATTTATCTCTTTTATAAAAGCAGCTTTCTTAAAAAAACATCCCCAACGCATACCAGCCCTCATGTCTTGTTCGGGCTTGCGTTGAG